GGTTGATTGAGGGAAACGTTGTGCTATTTAACCTACAACTACTTGCAATAGTGCTAGCTTATACCTTTTGGAAATATAGACGTTGGACAACAAATTCTTGCTGAACTTATAGAATTATTAATATGAAGCATACGCGTTCGAAATATTGATCAAAGAGCTGAATAAATTCTCACAACTATTTCTTATTAGAACTTTACTTTCACATTATTTTCAACATTTCGTCGGATGTAACAATATGTAATTGATATGAACGCCTAACATATAAATTATAAAGGTAATGTTAACACTTGTATTATTTGTTTCTATCATACCATCATTATATAGGGACAGAATATTTAGAACCGTTAATTTTATTATTTAGCCTTTATTGGCCTTTATTGGGAAATTACAGTTGATTTTAAATTAAAAACTTTCAATTTTAGTGTCAATGTGAACTCAACTTTTGTAATAAATACCTAGTAGGCTCATAAGTTCTGTCACATGTATATTGTGAAATGATTGACATTGGTTTGTTTTTACAGTAACCATTTATATATCAAAAGGAACTCACGAACGTAGATTCTTATGCTACCTAAGCTTATTCAAAATGACACCCGCGATTTTGACCACAAGTCTTCAATCGCCGTCGACGTCGGCGGTCATCAGTGGCTGCTTATATCAGCAATAGCTGGAGTGACTCCAAATCAGGACGAGGCTTTCACCAGTCCTTTCCTCCAAGTGTTACCATATTTTATAATCCAACGGATTTAAGTCTGGGCTGGAGGAGGGGGAGACTTCGTATCGGATCAAGTCAATTTCACGCGCCGCCACTCAGTACCTATTGCGTGCGTATAAAGTTTGCGGTTTGCGAGCGTTGTATTTCGATACACAATTGCAATCGTTTTTACGCCTTTCTCACAAAAATATGCCTCAGTTGATCCCGAATATGAGACTCCTAGCCAAACCATGGGTGATGATGGAAAAACAGTCTCGCTGGTCAGTGGACACACAGATTGCGGCTGCTCGCTTCTTTGCTATTGTGGGCGTACACTTTATCAATTAGTTTGTTGTAACTCTCCTCCATGATTACAAGTAGTAACAATTTTTAAAAAATTGTATAATGCAGAACAGATTTCGAGGCCGCTTACCTATCGTAGAATCAGTCAAGCAATAGCTAAAAGGAAGAATAGTTATCAAGATGTATTGGTATGAATTTTTTTCTAGGCCTGGATACCATAACGGTTAATAATTAGCTATGATGTACAACGACGATGTATGAGTTCATATTAGATGTGACAAAGTTAATGCACGTAACATTCTCAGTATGCTGTTAATGATGTATACCTTGATAATACATTTATTTGATTAACACGTTTTTAAAACAAGTTTTAGTTGAAGAAGCACTATTATTTTTTGTTAAGATGAGAATTAAATTAACGGTTTCTCAATGAACATTTGCTTGTGGTGGGCGACGGTATTCACTTAACATCAGGTGAACAGCCTGCTGGCTTGTCAACTATACACATAAAAAAAAGAACCATTATCATTTATTAGTTATATCTAGTTGGGTACATAACCTTACATTTCCACTACAATAAATTTCTAATTATTCTTAAATTAACTGTTGTTTTTCTTGTCAAGGTTTAATTAAATCCGTTACATATTTTATTAACGCGTCAATCTGACGCTAAATGATGTTCGTATAAAACAGCAGGACAAATTGTTTACAGGAAAGGCTTTTATCATTCATTGATAACAAGGACTTCGCCCGCGACGTCTTCCGTGAAAATTGTGTTAGCTCCGCTGATCAGCATAATATAAATGTAATTTATATACTAAAACCTTCTTCGAAACACGCTGCATCTTATGGTATAAGTATACTTCAGATCGGTTCAGTAGTTTTTGCAGTATTAACGAACAAAAAAGCGGCTCTCCGTTTATTAGTACAGATTTTCTAGAGAACACAATACAAGTTGTTATATTTCCCGCGTTTCTAGGTTATTGAGGTTACCCAATGAATGTTATCGTAGCGCTTATTTCTGTATTCCTGTGCGATTCGCCACAGAATAAACTGTGTCAACATCTGTGTCAATAAAAATAGAATGACGTCTCGATGTTGGATCAAAGAATAGTTAGTAATTGTGATACGTTCTTGGGACAAATGTACATTTTATTTTTACGTATCTTTTGTACTGTGTGATAAATGATGATTATAATATCTCACTATGACAATACGTTTCCAATATTTTTGTTATCTACAAAAAGTTTTAATAATTTTTATCTCTGGAACCTTTACAATTTTAAATATTTATGTCGTCAGTCATAGTGTTCTGTATCAATGCATGGTATCAGTAAAAATAATTTTGCTAATTTTGCAAAATACTTTTAAAAAAGAATACAAAGAAAATGTATATGTCCAAACGGTGGTAGGGCCACGCAGTAGCCTCGACTGTTGCACGAATGGGCAGGCTCGTCCGGGTTAGTACCACGACCTCACAGAAGACCGGCGTAAATGCAGGAAAGTATAATACTTTTGCGTTTCGTCTGGTGAGTGAGGTGGTCGGAGCCCAATTTTCAAAAGGTTGTCAACGCATCTACGACCCTCGGGTATAGCAGATGTCCATGGGCGGCGGTATTCACTTAACATCAGGTGAACCGTCTGCTCGTTTGGCAACTTTTCACATAAAAAAAAATGTACCCACACAAATATATCTACGAACATAAATACTACGAATTCATGAACTCCAAAATTCGAAGCAATGAAATTGATGAACTTAACAGAGAAGTATATAAATTTTTCATTCAGTCAATTTAATGGCTTTTTATCGATTAGAAACAAATGTATTATAAATATTTAGGATCTTTATATTATATATTATAACGAAACTAATTATTAAAAAAATATCATAATGCTCATTGTTCTTGACCTTATTAACCGATAAAATGTAAATCTTTTATCTTCTATTTTAAAGGTTTATCATTTGGGGAACGTTTGCTATATTACACAGTTTATAATCATTTATACTTACAATTTATTTCATTTTGGATGTTTTATTTTACAAACTGTTATATTCCTAGTTTATTGAAATAAATTACTTTGTTTGCTACAAAAAGGTAAATTATTTAAGTGGCATCGAAATACGATTAACATGCACGGCCTCGTGTGTTTCGATCACGACCGTTTCGTTGTGCGAACGTTTTAAAACGAATCACGCCTTTCTTTGTAAGTAAACTAGTATCTCCAGTACAAGTATCGACGGTTATATAACACGAAAAGGTAAACAGCGAATGTTGGACTCAAACGGTGACCAGATTTTTTTTTATTTGTCTTTAAATATTATATATTAAAGAAGCAAATCTACATTTACTGCACCGTGTCTGTGTAACAATTTGATGTAACACTTTATACATTCCTTACGTAGCAAATCACGTGTTTCATCGGTAATCGGCAACTTCGAGTAATGAGGAGCCGATAAGTTCATAGGTTACTTAGTGTCAACGTCACTTGCTATCAGCACACTCAATTTAGCACGCGTTTAGTTTCATGTTGATTTCATTATAGGTGACATAATAAGACACTTTATAATACAAATCCGTCGTTGGACTGAGAAACACTTGGTTGAAGTTAGTTTTTTTCATTGGCGAATAGAATGTGCGCGTTTAAGATGAAAGTAAAGACTGTAAGAAGTAAAAAATAGAATAATAATGCGTGAATGAACTCTGAGAGAGTGCGGCTATAAAACTTCGTATAACCTTTCTATTTTATATTAGAAAGAATGTATTGTAAATTTATCTTGTCTGTTCCGTTACCATAGATACTGCCCATTAGCCAAGACATTGTTATGTATAATTTGTTGGATAATTTAATAATTTTATCATGGCTTTGATAGCTATCTGCTTCGTGCCTTCTCGGGACAAATATTTGTAAGACGAACAAAAATAATTTGCCTTGGCCGGGTGTGTGTCTGTCTAGTTTTTTATTTGTTGATATGTCAAAACTTCAAAAGATAATGTTATACAACAGTAGTTAAAAAATATATTCGTTCTAATATACAATAATTTATGTTAATGGCAACGACTGTAAGAAATAAAAGAAAAACTGCAAAAAGCTATGAAGATTATTAGGGTACGGATGCCGATTCTCCGAGGTTACTTTCATAATTTATTAAATAAAAAAAATAAATTTATGAAAAGCATGAGCTTGGCATTGCCATCCTCTATTTGGTGAATCGGCAGACCTCTTTAAAACATTCAGTAGCTGCCTACGCGCCTTTTAAGAAAGTGTATGGGCAATACAAAAGAAAGTGTACGACGAAGACTGTTAATACTTTCTAAAAGATTTTCTTGGCATGTTGTTTATATGTTCTTATTTAATATAATCTTAGCTTATTCATTAGTATTCTGTTTTAATAGAAACAAGGTCAGAAAATTTAGTGTGCTCGTTATTACGGCGGATTATTGCTATTATTCTGCGAAAAGCATTCAGCCAAATGACCTTGGTCACGAGAGATGCTGTAGCATAAATTTTCTCGGCTCTGCGAGACGATACTCGGTAATTCAACTTTACCTTAAACATTTTAACTCGTTTGTTTACAAGAACTCGAATGCGGTTAATGAGAACTAAATAACAGTCAGTCGATTCGATGGTTACTTTTAAATAATGCTTAATGATGCCTAATGCAAACGTATCCATTGCATAACTATAGTACTAAACTATAGCATTTTCGCTAATATGCGAGTGTTACGTTGAATTGGGTTAAAATAGCTGAATTTATTTTAACTAACATTATTTGGACCAATGACTGTCGTCAGCGAGTAGAACTATTTAACAGGAGCATTACCGAATTAACTATAGAAGTATATTTGTAAATTATAAATATCTATATGCAGCCAGTCTCGGGCGATCACTTATCGCACATAACTTTCGTTATTAAAAATATCCTCAAGCATTTTTTTAATTATAATGTAAAAAATGTATATTACATATTATCTTTATTTTCAAAATATGCACTTCTTTGCAGGGGATTTCGGGAGGTACCAATGCTTCCAGTTCATTCTCCACATATTGGCGGCGATGACCGCTGGGATGCACATGCTGTCTTTGGTAACGGTGGCTGCGGTGCCTGAACATAGGTAAATTACCATGCACACAAAACGTTGAAACTAAAAACAGGTTATGAAATTATGGCACATATTCTTAAATCAATGTACACATATAGATTAACAATTTGACATATCAAATACGTATCAAATACATATTCCAAACACTTAAGAGTACATCTTCAAAATCAGTAACATCCAATAATTGTTGCAGTAAATGCCAGAATTTATAAATCGTTTAAGCAGCAACAAATATTTTTATACAAAATGAAGACTATAAAATGATTTAAAACATCTTTGTAGCATTCAAAAATGACCTTAACATTAATTAAAAGGTGGCAGAAGTTTGCAAATAATAAATAAAATTACTGTAATAGGTCTGAACTGCGTCTAACACAGGCACAAATCTTGGTGAGCGGTATTTTGGCTTTTACGTACTATGTTAAGTGCAGCTTTTGTTATCGAAGTTATTTTGTTATTGGGTAAAATTTACGCTGGTAAAAATTAACTGACGCAATATTTTTTTTGTAGAGACCTATCACTTTTAATTCTTGCTTCTATACTACTACTCTTTTTATTGTTATAATAATTTCTGATTCACATAAAGTACATTTCAATTGACGTTATTAATATTTGAAAATTTTATACAAACAGATATTAGAGATATTTGGAAGATTGAATCTCAAGAAACTTCATAACCGTTTCCATTTCTTGCATGTGCATGAATTATCCTGTTTAAATACTTTTTGTTCACATATTTCTATTTCTGATTACCTGATTGGCGAGCGAATATACTGGTAAAACTTTAAATGATAATTTTCATGTTGTAGTTGAATTATTTGCGCGGGAAAAAATAAAACTGAAAATAGTAATCGTTCGCTAATTAGTCAACAATAATATAGAATAAAAAATGTTATTGACCTAGAATGCTCTGTCAGCGAGCCCGTGAGTTCTTTTATCACGCGGTAGCTGAAAAATGATATTTATGCCGTACATCTTACTTTGCTGTTTCTGTGGTGTCAAAATAAAAAATAACTCAGTTCCTTTTCAAATCATATCATTGTTTAGATTTTTAAGCGCAATAATTTATGCCGTTATAGTTGATTAGAAAACGTTAAAACGTTGATTATAGAAAAGTAACTGAGTATTCGTCCATCTCAAAAACATGCGGAAAATAAATGGGAATCATCTTAGCAATGACCTAAAAGTAAGTTATACCATACTTGCTTTGTGGTTGTAGGACAAATATCTATCGACAAATTCGCTTATTTCGGGATACAGGGTATGGAATCGGCTTGGTGTTCGTTTCTTGGATGAAACAGTGTGATGTTTCGTGCTATTACACATATTGGTGATTGAATGTAAGTACACATTGCTATAAAATACCGGATTACGTGTTTGTTAAAAAGGTATATCTATGGAACGCTTTTATGTGCTAATAAATATATCGTGCCAATATCTTCACTATTTGTCGGTTAAAACTTTTAATTTTCATACTAACTTTATTTCTTCGTTTCACATATTCACTGCATGCAGTTATGTATAGGTATGGTGTTATATACTGTCAATTGCGTCTATGTTCATTTTAATTAAAACACAACACCTTAGTATTAGTATAACTCATAAGATTTATTGTGATTTGAGCTTGAAAATTTTTTTTAAATATGTTGAACTATCCTCATGTCGTCGTACATAATTTACTTTTTACTCATTTTCGCATAGCTCATAACACAATATGAACACAACCATCTAATTTGCCAAGTAAACAAGCACAAGCATTCATTCATTAATTGCACAAGATTTGTTTTAAATTCGTTAATTATCCGATATTGATTCGAATCAAAAAAAGTAAGTCAAATGTTCTCATATTTCAGGTGTGCCCTTGAAGGAGTAGACAGCTCGAATTTTACCGAGTCATGGAATTCGTCTTTAGTGAGGAATGCTATCCCCATAGATGAGCACGGAAGACTGGATTCTTGTAACGTTTATGGCGCAAATAAGTCCTTGGCGGAGTGTCAGTCTTGGGTGTATGATACTAAATACTATACTTCATCTCGCGGGATCGAGTGGGAGTTTGTTTGTCACAGGCGTTGGATGGGGGCGGCAGCGCAGACGGCGTACATGTTTGGTGTAGTCGTCGGTTCGGTCGTCCTTGGTCGCCTGTGCGACAAACTTGGTAGGAAGACCATCTTTGTCTGGTCGGGTATTCTGCAGTTAACGTTCGGTGTTGCCGTCGCCTTTACCACGGAATACTACACTTTCGTGGCAGTCCGCTTCCTTTACGGCATCTTCGGATCAGGTTCTTACATTGCGGGTTTTGTGCTGACCATGGAGCTCGTTGGACCTGGCAGACGCACGTTATGCGGGGTAACGTTCCAAATCATGTTTGCTATCGGAATTATGCTCTTGGCCGGTTGGGGGTATCTTCTGGACAACAGGTTTTATTTACAAATTCTGTATGCGTTGCACGCAGTCATTCTACTTCCACATTGGTTTCTTATGGACGAATCTCCTAGATGGCTGTGGGCTCAGGGTCGCGCTCGCGAATCTGTTTCCATAATAGAGAAAGCCCTCAAGATGAATAAATCTATTGAGACAGTGGACACTCCTTCTCTAGTATCTCAGTGCAAAGTAACGTGCGCAAAATACACTGACGAACATTCGGCTGGAACGACCGATCTTTTCAAAACACCCAATATGCTTAAAAAAACGTTAATTATTTGCGGCTGCTGGTTTGCTAATTCCGTTGTTTACTACGGTTTGTCGTTGAATACTGGAAAATTGAATGGTAACCCCTATTTTATAATGTTCCTAATGGGTGTTGTTGAACTGCCAAGTTATGTCATTATAATGTATTATTTGGACAGAGTCGGTCACCGAGCCCTGATATCCGCTATGATGTTGCTGGGAGGGGTTTCGTGTTTAGTCGTTGTGGCCTTACCCCATGGGTCCACAGCAACCACCGGCGTTGTGATGATCGGTAAGTTATTCATATCGGGTTCGTATTCGATAATCTACAAGTACTCGGCGGAACTCTTTCCGACTGTAGTTCGAAGTTCTGGAGTTGGACTCGGGAGCATGTGCGCCAGTGTGTCAGGTGCCTTAACGCCACTGATTAGTTTGCTAGATACGCTGAATCCTAAAATTCCCACTATCATCTTCGGCTTCCTGGCCCTTCTGTCCGGATTCTCTACATTCTTCTTGCCAGAAACAATCGGCCGGAATCTGCCCCAGTCAGTGGAGGACGGTGAAAAGTTTGGTGTCGGCGATACGTGTTTTACGAATTGCAGCGGAAAAAGATTGAGCAGCGCTTCATTGGACCTTCCTGATACTATGGTACCGTTAGACGGTGAAAAGAAGCAATGAAATCACAATCGATGCAACCAACCGATTTTGAAGCAATAGGGTACTTGTCTGAAAAAGAATTTGATATACAATCATGTTTTTTTTAAGTAACTCGCCATAATAATACTTCGGTAGTGATGAGAAAACGCAATTCTTATCACTAAAATCTGTATGTGGGCGCTTTTTTTTATTGAAGAGATGGCAAACACGTTTAAGTGGAATATCTGGTAAGATATCACCTGATGGTAAGTTTTCACCGCAGTCCAGCATCAGAGAAGTTAGCAATAAATCGCCGGCCTTTATGAAAGGAATCACTTCTAGAAGGTCATGGCAACCCATAAATCGCTGACGATAATATTCCCCACAAAGTAATGGTGCATGTCAGCAAAACCCTTTATTTTATACTGTATGGTGGAGACAGAACGAATGTGTGAGGAATATAATTCTACAGCAGCTGCCGATTGTTTTTTCGATTTTAATTGTTTGTTTTACAAATAGTATGTAATGAATAATTGCAAAAAGTGAAGTTTGCAAAAATACAAAAAAAAAACACTAAATTTTTCCGTCTACCTATATCATGTGATGCGTATATTGTTATTTTCTTTAGAAATTGCGTGATAATATTTATATTAATGGTTATAATAATTAAAAAATGTAAAAATATATTAAAGCTTAAATCAAAACTATAATAATCATGATCTAAATGACTACAATACATTTTATAAGTAGTTTACATTACCTCTAGGCAAATACCCTATTTGCTAGACTTTATAAGTTACATCAACAATTTTTGTAGTATAAAACTGCATTTCTTTTCTTTAGAATCATTCTTGCCTTATAATCTCTCTATGGATCGCTTTTAAAATGAAAGTTTCAAGATTTTATTAATTGTTCTTTCATGACTGTTTTTATTAAAGTCGCTAATTAAAATGTTGTTCAGTAAATAAAATTTTTAAAAGATGCATTTGCTTCTTGAATAAAAGACGTTATTGGACGTAAGTTGTATTTACACATAAGTTACTATTTAAGTTATCTAGTCAGGTTTTGAGAAACAACAATTAGACTGGATGACACTTTTTTTAGTCATTACTTAATTTAATTGGTAAAACTGCAATGGTCACTGATAAGCCGGGAAAATAATTTATTAGAAGCCATTATTTGCTAATTAAAGGTACAAAATGGCCTTAATACGATATGTTAAAAGAATTTGAACAGAATATGACGCAGGCGCACGAAATCAATCAGCATCGAATTGGTTGATTATTTTGTAGGAGATCAATAATAGAATAAGACAAGTTAGTTTGCCTTTAGCTTTTAATGTTAAATAGATAATAAATACTTGCAAAAAATTACTTTTAATATAAAATTAAAGCTAATTGTATGAATAGAATTAAAACGTACTAACATTACATTAATTATCCATTCTGCTTAATGCTTTAAGAATAATAATAAACATTTGATCCGGTGCAAGTAATACAAAAACAATTGTATGTATCTTGTTGTTGTCCAGAACTATATGGGTCTATAGAGCTGTCAACCATAACCAATTTGAGAATAGTAACAATTTTGTTGTTAACAATAAAAAAATAGGATGTCAATTTGTGAACTGTCTTGATCTGATGATCTGAGCTTATAACATTTTCAATCAATCGGATATGCTTTTGTTTAATTTTAATTTTATTTTTTTA